TATATATATATATATATATATATATATATATATATATATATATATATATAAAGGGTGCGTTCCTTTATTTATTGCGAATATTGACGGACGTCATGAAAATATATTGCTAGTAGCGTTCCGTTTTAACTTCGAGCACTGTCGAGGTGATGCAAGGTGACAAATGGGAACGCACCACCTTACTGCCACTGCTTTAAGGCTCGTCTACAATAGCTGTAAGAATATGGCTGTAAGGCTGTAACGTGAGCAGTCAGCGAATGAAAATAATTCATTTCGCGTCTTACAGCCTTACAGCCATATTCTTCATAGAAGTTGTAGACGAGCCTTTATCTCTCCAGCTGCAGTAGCCACAGCAGGAAGTGACATCAAATTCAGACGTCACAAACTCGTCAAAGTTGCTTTTGCAATGCACTGTAATGGCTCCTGCACACAGGACACGGTAATGCTTGTCGCGCGACGAAAGTCCGCGCGACAGCCAATCAATATGTTGTTTTTCCGTAAGAGCTAGAAGGTTAATACGGAAAGCAGCATATTGATTGGCTGTCGCGTAAACTTCCGCTGCGCGGTAAACATTGCCGCGTCCTGTGTGCAGGAGCCATAACCTATTTAGGAACGCTGTTGATAGTACTGACAGTACTTGCAGTAAATAACGGAACGCAGCCATTAGCGTGTTCGACTGGCCCTGGGTTAATCGCTTCGAAAGCGATTATTGACGTGATAAGTCTCTACTAACAATCATAAAGTTTATAAGTATTTGTTCGACCAATAAACGTAGACTGAATAACCCAGAGTGGGTTAATCCAGAGCCAGTTGAATATGCTAATAGATTCAAGAATAGGGCCCCAGCAATGCAGTTACAAAGGACAGAATCTTTAAATTATATCGTGTAAAGATTTTCCTTGATACCAACATTATCTCCTCCACTTTTCGGGAAACTGTCGCCTAACCCGTGCCTTGAACTGCTTGAACAAAATATATTTGTTTCTCTCTATAACTTATTATACCAATGTGCACCAATTCAGACAGTTCAGCTAAAAAGAACAGACCCAAGTACATTTTGGACTAGTCTACAACAGTTCAAGAAGTTTTTCGAAAAAGAACAAGCTTAATTTTACATCCCCGAAGTTTCTACAAACTGCGTTCTCATTGGTGGCATTCAGAAAATACAACAGGTTGTTCAACCGCTGAAAAACATCAGATCCAATCGAGTCAACGTACAAATTTGCCATGCGTATAACAGTTTTTGTCTCTCTCGACGCTTCGTGAGTCAATACGGAAATCTTTCTTGACGATATCGATCGTTAGTATGGTTCTTGCGCAAGTATACTTGCAGATATATATTCTACCATAATCCATGTAGCAAGAAAGAAAAACTGTACATCGCCGAAGCATACCTCACACGATGTCTGAAGTTGTTAAAGGACAAAAAGCTAGATCATAAAGATATTATAATCGCTACGTCAGCATATTTTGAATTAAGCAATCTTTGGTATAAACTAGATAATCTAGAAAAATCGAGACGATACATAAATGAAGTGTTAGAGTTGTACAAGTCCTACACACAGGAAAAGGACGACTATCCTGTTTTTACATGTATTCTAACTTTAATCGGTTAAAATACAGGACGCCATTTAATTAGGTTAGATTAAATTTATTGGAAAGCTTTGTTCAGTTTAACATTGTTTTTAGACAAAAGTTTCGAAGAAAAAATTAAAAACGAAAATGTTATAATGTGTATGCACAAACTATTGAAGAAATACTTAAAGATAGTACCATCAATCATGGATCGTGTGGAGTGGCCTGAACACACGATCGCCTTAGCTAGATTATTTTTAGCATCTGAACGATTTGCCGAAGCCAAGAGTCATATTGCTGCTGCAGGCTTTATGATGGATCAATTTTATAATGAGGAATGTGCGAAAGCCGACGTGGCAACATCATCGGTGGAATATGTTGCGTCGAATGAGCTATATATTCATGAGATTTGCAAAGTTAATATGAGCTGGGCAGAGTTCCGGCCTAACCGCCGTCACGACAAGATGTGTTCGAACATGTTCGGACCTTGTGATTTTTTTGGATCGTGTCTTGGAAATTTCCAAGACTTTGTTCTCGAATTATAACATTAATCGGAAACTGGCGTAGGGGCATTACTCTTATAGAGGCCTGTAGCCATATATTGAAGGAAGGAAGGAAGGAAGGAATATGAGCTGGGCGTGGTATGGAGTCGCGCTTTTGGCCATGTCAGCAGAACGACTCAAACAAAAGGATAATGTAGCAGACAAACCTCACGAGGCTAGTGATTTACAATCCGCAACGAGATCCGCGATACCAATGACAAAGTTACAATTTACCAATCTAGAGGAAGAGCTGCAAAAGTTTATTGCTTTGGCTAAAGATACGTACGTTACGAATTACATAGATGCCGAAGCAATTTTTCAAGCTGTTCTAAATAGTCTTCAGGAAATACGGATATATGTTAAAAAGAAGAAAGATTTAGAATTATATACGGACTTTATTCGCTGTATTTCTAAAGCATACAAATATTTAGCGTACTATGAGCAACAGAAAGGCAATCTGATAAAATTGCACAAAAAACGGGTTGCAGCCTTATATGACATTATGAATTCATTTTGCGCAACTGATGATGGATATTTGTATGGGTACATTTCGTTAGAGCTTGCAATTTCTATTTCCACTCTGTTAGATATACAAGTTGATAATCTACCGATATGCATGGACTTAATGAATTCGTTAGAAATTAAAGAGTTAGTCAACCAAAACAAAATCAAAATCTTCAATTATATTTGCATCACTTTCAATAATTTCTATAAAGAAATTACACGATAAAGAAAGCCATGTCCCTTGTCGCACACGACAAAGATGTGCGCGAGACTACTATCCACTACCACTTTGCAACTAGAAAGCTTATGGACTCTTCGAAGTCTATAAAACTACTCCTTGACAGAAAAGAACAAGAAATAAATAAAAACATTTTTATATTAAAGGATTGGACTTTTCATGTGTTATATTTATTTGTGTATCAGTAAATATTGCACGGCAAATAAAGATTACTGTATGTTATTAAGATTGTGTTATTTTAATATCATATATAAGATAACTTGGAAATTATTTTATACTGTTCTTTTTTTAACAGTTAAATATAAATAAATATTTTGCCATTGCATTATTAGTAATATCGTTACATGTAATTACATTTCAAGTAGTTATATTATCCTTGAGAAATATTTGATTTGTTTTTGGGAAGTAACCCAGACAGCATAAAATCTCCTAAGGACGAAGAAATATCCTTAGGATTTCCTCAGGATATACTCTGGATGTCCTCTGGACATCTTTGCTGTTAGGGAAATGTTTGGCCATCACTAATTCTCCGATGCACATCTCAAGAATTTCTATAATAAAAGTCACGCTAAAAAGTCATTTATAAATGCATTAAAAAATGTTATACAACATAATCTAAATACAACAATTCTAAAACGCAGTTATATTGTGTGTAGTGGCAATGAAGATACATGGACGATTTCATTAACTCAAAGCCGCCGTTTTTTTTTCCAGAGGGGATCCGTCAGCTTTACCCGATGAATGAAGAAAAGTATTAGAAAATGATGACGAATATCTCAAATATATAATATTGACACGTTTATTATTATCATTTATCATTTAATTTTTTAATAAAGATTTAATTTTTTAAAAAGAAGCATCGAATTAATTTGTGCAACTAATATTTCATAGCTTAAGATGAATAACTGTATTCGCAATTACTCAAAGTACTTCACATATTCTGACTCCACTTATATATCCACTTTCGTTTTTTTCCTTCAACCATTTCATCCAATACAAAAGCAGACAACGCCGACTAGAGAAGCAACAACAATCACAGTAATAATAATAAAATATTTATTTGCACTGTAAAATTTCATATGAAAATACAAAAGTCTCGAAATCATATATATTTCGCTAAAATAACATTATAGATGATTTTAATTAATACAAAACAATATTAATTTACGCGATATACGCACGAAATAAACAGAAAAAAAACTAATCCGCTGGCATATATATGTATATAATGATTTCTCAGAGATAATTTTTTACAGATATTAAAGATCTCAGGAGCTTTCTACTTATAAAGGAATAATTTGTGTATACTTTATGTCGTCCACCAGCTAGTTCATTTGTTTCCATATAAATATAACTCGGAATTGTGTACGTTATACTTAACTAATTTATCAATTTCTCCTAATAGTTCTGAATCCATTTTATCATGCGACTCTAAGTCTTGAGTCTTAATTTCTAATAGAGAATAAGAAGCAAGCACCACTTGAAGACAAGTATACTTGCGAACAGTGGGATCGGCATCCGCACTTAATGACTTGGAAAAATCATTCAAGGTATCCATTAGTTGTTTGTAAAGTTTCATCTGCTCATTTTTCTCTCTTTCATAGCATATTAAATATTTGTATGCATGAAAAATCCCTCGACTAATGTTCATATTAATATTTGTAGACATCGTTCTCACTTTAATTGCGAATCCTTTTGCCTCTTCAAGCCACTTAAGAACACGCCGAAAAACTACCTTAGCATCTTTGTAATCTGCAATGTACGCATCTCTGATCAAATCGGTGAAATTTTGTAACTCATCCTGTAAACCGGTAAATAGTAATTTCGGTAGCATTGCAAACTCTGTTGCGGATTCGTCTTCCTCCTCATTATACAGAACTCGCTCGCTCGATGAACGCAGCAGTGTGTTTCCGTATTGCGCCCACTTTATAGCGACATTTGCAGCAGTTAGAGCATGTGTGTCATGTGCTCTAGCTTTAACTCTCGGGGATTTATCTCCGTCGATTTTTATCAATTCCACCTCATAATATTTCTTCACGGAAAAAGATGCAACAGCAAGATGATGTCTGGCCTCGTTAAAGCGTTTGTACTTTAAAAACTCTGATGACAAATGAGATGAAAATATGGCCAATTCGGAATAGCTTACAGATAATGGTGCCGTTTTTAACATTTTTTCCAATATCTTGTGCGCGTATATTATCATTGTACAGTTATCTATCGGCGAATATTTATTAACATTATAGTGCTGAAATGATAATAATGTTTTTAAAATACGTGTGTATAGTATGTCCATTTCATATATATAATTACACTCGATTTCAATGCCAGTAACAATTGGAAAATGGGTAGGAGCAGGATAGTCCTCCTTTTTCTCTGTATACGTCAGATATAACTCTAACGCTTTACGTGTGAATTGTTCCGATTCTTCTAGATCCTTTAGCTTCATCGAAATACAGCCCAATTCGAAAAATGCTTTTATAACTGTGAAAATAACTTTACGATCTAGCTCTTTACCCTTCAACAATTGTACACATTGCATGAGGTGTTCTCTGGCGATATACAATTTATCATTTCTACTATCATCACTGTAATATATTTCAGATAATTTTAAATAAATTTGCGCTAGAGCTATACTATCGTGGAAAGGTGCATCTTGCGAATTGAACGTACGATGAAATTTGTTCAATCGCATCTCTATCTCTCTGAGCGTTTCAATATGTTCGGCGTAAGGTTTGTCCTTTTCCTTTTCGTTGGCGATATTTGTAACCAAGTTGAAAACAAGTTTCAAAAGGGCACAATATTCCTTATTAATTTCCATCGTTCCACTCGTGGTAGGTTTGACGTTCTCGGTAAACTCTACTTTCGTAACGGACGCTAAACATACCAACATCCAAAGATTATTCTGTGATTACTACACGATTTGTATGTGGGTAAATTACTTTTCATCATTACCCGAATCGACAAATTCGCATTCCTGTGCTCCTGCATTTTCAGTGGACATCTTCACACGCACGTTTAGTGATGAACGCGTCGATAAGAAGGATTCTTCGTAACTCACAAGAGAAACATCACATGTTGTAAATAGCAAATTCATTAGCGACGTATGCTGCTCTGATTGGTGGAACTCAGAGTACATACAGAGAATGCGTGGTTGGATATTCTCGAATGCAACGTACTTAACTACGCTACATGTAAACATATTTTTATAGACTCAGTTTGCTATAGATATAGATATGTAATTTTCTATTTACTAACGTATTTTATAGTAATTTCAGGAGTGCGAAATTTTGTCCTGATTCTACTAGTTGGTTTGAATGTTTCTCAACATATGAAATTGACGATTGGTGGATTATTGCTGCGCATTGTGTACAAATTGTCATCAGATTTTTCACGCCACATCTCGTTCGCTTGCTCACTCGCGCGAAAAAGCAACAACGATTTTTCGACGTGACTCCCTTTTGTGCTTTCCTTTATTGATATCCTTCGTTAGCGTGTTCTTTCCTGAAGATGCTTACCGAAAGCACAAATGAACAGGAATACAAATCTACTGGGCCAGGTAACACAGAAAAATAACTCATTCTTCTTAAGAAGGTCATACGATAACGATATATAATAACAGGCTACTTGGAATAAATCTTCCAACGTTGACTTGTTTAGCGTCCGTCATGCAAACGGAGATGGTTGAGAGCAAGGAGGATACCGAGAGCACGAGGATGCACGTCAGAGAAGAATTTGTCGAAATCTTAATGTCGTCGAATGTAGCTAGAGACTCGACGAAAGGGATTGAACCCACGAAGAAACAGGCTAGGATGATCAGATTGATTGAGGGAAGAATGAACAAATTATTCACGGATAAACTCAACTCGGAAGATGCAAAATCCGACGACACTATAGCTCTCGCACAATCCTATTTACATATTTCTCAAATATACAACGACGTCATATGGAAAGACACATCCGAAGCTTATTTGTTACGAGCTTTGGGATTATTAGAGGGCAGAGAAACTACTCGCAAGGCTATCTTGACAGCTATGAAAGTGCACAACTGCTTAGGCGCTATTTACACTGATTTAAAAAATCCAAAGAGATCTTTATCGTTTTATGAGAAAGCATTCCTGCTTTACTGGACTTACACAAACAAAAAGGATTCATATCCTGCACCTATCGATATTCTATACGTATTTGGCGTTGTCACAAAAGAGTTTCAAAGCGGATACTCGTTGGATTCGCAATACATGTTAACTTTAACGAAGTTGATACAACTGCATACACACATGGATGAGCATCAATCGATTACTATAATATATCAGCATATGTTATTGCAAAAACAGGTGAGATTAATACCGTTAACTATAGGCCGTACTGAATGGGCTCTGAAAGCGGCGACGATATCCGAATATCTTTCCATGCACAATCGATTTACGGAAGCTAGAAGTCACTTAGGTATCGCATTTTATATGTTGAACAAATTTTATCGAGACGAATACGGGAAAATCGATGGGACCAAATTTCCCGAGATAAAAACTTCTTTGTATAATCAATACAGAAACGCGGCCGCCTATACTAATATATATGCAGCGCAGTATGGTATCGCGCTTTTACGTTCGTCGAAGGATCGACAATTTGAAGAGGAGAACAAACAGCGTGAAACAAAATCGGAATCCTTAACAACGTTCGAGCAAAAATTACCAGACTTCCTGGTGTTTACCAGTACAAGCAATGTTGAAGAAGAATTTAATATTTGGATTACAGATAAGTATCTTGCAAATTACAATGATGCCAAAGCTGTATTTTCGAATGTTCTAAGATGTCTTAATGAAGTATGGTCTTACAAAATCAACATGATTTACCCAGAGATACAAATAGATATTCTATTAAAAATGTCCCAAGCATGTAGATATTTAGCATGTTATGAACAGAATGGAAATAAGCAGGTGATGTTGCATTTGTGGCGATTGGATATTTTAAAAAATGCTACAAAGCTATTCAATAAAGATAATAAGAAACATGAAAAGCTGATTTTGCTTGAGTTAGCAGTTACTCATGTAACTGTATTGGATATATACTTAGATGAGTTACACTTTTATCAAAAATCAAAACCAGATTCTTCACCAAATATGAGTCATTATGTGAAGAATGCTTTAGTCAATTTCATGTCGTATTTAGATCTGGCTTGATAATTTCAATGAATAAATGAATATTTTAATGAATAGATGAATATTTTAATGAATAAATGAATATTTTAATGAATAAATGAATTAATTGGATGATAGGAATATAAATCATGTCTCTTATAACTTACAACAAAAATGTATACAAGATATTATCCATTATTGTTGCACTGATATTCCTAAATCATGCAAGGCTATTCATTCTCTGTATTATTGTAAAATATATAAGTATAGTTACATATATAACTATATATATATAATGTTATAGTTATTCGAGTTACTCACACAGAAGAAATATTCAAAATATATCACTGGGATATCTTGAAGATATCTAGGATATTCTTGTAATATGCTTTGAACATTTCTGCTTATGTGTGGATATATATAACTCTATATATATCATATTATATTATAGTTATTATAGTTATATATAATTAAACATTGCAACAAAAAGAAATATAAATGTGAAAATTATAATAAACCTTAGTGTCTCGATTGCACACGTCGTTCTCATTTCAGGTTTATCCCACAAGTTTAACTTATACTAGCACACCTCTAAATCGTCCTATGAAACATTGTTACAAATATATTTTATCAAAATTGTATGTGCACGTACAATTAATTATTCTCAAAGTTTGTCTTGCTATTCGTTTTTATGCTGAAAACGTACTATCTTTATCGTGCCTTACATGTGATGGAATAACACTTTCAATATGAAAGTGCAAGAACTTAGTCTCAGTTATATGAAGCATTTGCGTTACGAAATTCATTAACACGTTCGCATTATGATATTGGATACTATGGCTTATTTAGAGGCTTTCTCCACAGCTTGTCTTGTATTTATTTTCATCTTGTTTTTTTTTATGTAATTTGTAATACAATTTAATTTGATAATGCGGTTGTGGAAAAAAAATATTCGCCGTCATACATCTTGGACCATGGACGTAAGAATTGCAGTCTGTTCTTTTCAGCTGCACTGCTGAACTGGCGCAATAAGTTAGAGTGAGAAAAGATATACTTGTCTCACTTTAACTTATTGCACCAGTTCAGCAGTGCAGCTGAAAAGAACAGACTGAGTATCTGGACGGAGGATATTGTTGCGGGGGAAGCCCAAGAGGTGAAGGGAATTATTGTATTGTAAAGGTCGTTTTACATTAGTTGCAAGCCGATCGCAAATAGACACAATTCTTATTGCGACAGTCAATTAGAAGCATCAATGGTGATATTGACGCTTGGCTGTCGCAACAAGAGTTGCAATCGATTTGCAACTAAAGGTGCCAATACATGGGAGCGTTCCAGCGTCGAGCGTTAAAGCGTTAACCAATCAACGTATCAGGTTCCAGAAGTATATACTTGTAGTTCTTGCGGAAAGTGGCACGTTGATTGGCTACTGCTTTAACACTCGACGCTCGATGCTGCCATGTAAAGGCGCCTTTATGTAGAACGATCTTATAGCTCCTGCACACAGAACACGGTAATTCTTGCCGCGCGGCAGAAATTCGCGTGACAGCCAATCAATATGCTGGTTTCTGTAATAATCTTCTAGCTCTTACGGAAAAACAACATATTGATTGGCTGTCGCGCGAACTTCCGCCGCGCGGCAAGCATTACCGCGTCCTGTGTGCAGAAGCCATTAAGGTCGTTTCAACCGATTGAAATCTAGTTATTTCTGCGTAAGAAAACTTGGTAACTTTATAATTACCATTTTTTTGTTACGACATTTTTTTATGCTGGCATCTTTGGTTTTACGACAGTAATTTAATGGCCACGCTGCTCACATTGTACGTTTAAGTACTTACACAAGTGACACGTCACACACACAGGACCGCCACCATTTTCTCGCATGCAACCGGAAACCTTACGCAACACCAGAACGCGGTAATGCTTGCCGCGCGGCGGAAGTTCGCGCGACAGCCAATCAATATGCTGCTTTCCGTAATAACCTTCTAGCTTTTACGGAAATACAACATATTGATTGGCTGTCGCGCAGACTTCCGTCGTGCGGCAAGCATTACCGCGTCCTGTGTGCAGAAGCCATTATACGTATTATACGTATTTTACCGTATAATGTAAAAAACCCTAGAAAATGCTCGAAAACCCCTGATTGGAATTAGAGATGCCCGATTCTGAATCGATTCGATTCTTTCCCCAAAAATAGACTTATTCGTGTTGTTTGCACTCTTCGCAATTTTCGTATTTAAAACTAGACAGAAGTATATTGGAATGTTTCGAAGAAGCAAAAACGAGACAACCAACTCGATTGTTTCTTCCAAGCGTCTGATTAGGCGTCAATCTCTTTTTAAAAGTAAGAAGTATGAAACATGCAAGCAGCACGAACAACCCTTTTTCCTTAAATTTGTCAGGGAAAGAATCGAATCGATTAAGAATCGGGCATCTCTAATTGGAATAGACCGAATTTGTCGATAAGTATGTTGCGTTATATCGATAATATTCGACTTTCAGCCGATAAGATTGTAATTATAGGAATTCACGGTCGGTAATGGTAGATTTATAGTTTGTGCTCTACAGCGAATTCACGTTGTTTCCTTTGTTTCTATCGGTGCACGCAGATGCTTCTCCGTGAATTCGAATAAGATTTAAATTGATTATCTTCTCGAGGAATCGCTTCTACTCAACATCCTTTTGCGAATTACACTTGTTGAAAAAGCTGCAAAGTTTTGTCGAGCTGTTTTGTTTATACGTGATAAGTGGACGTCACTTGACACTTTGTTTTTTAACAAATGTCAAGCCTCTGCAGCGGTGTGATCGTGGGAGAAAACATCACGGTATCGTCTAACGTACCTGTGATTACTGTGTCTCGTGAATTCACCGTTGGTACGTTGAATGAAAATTTCGAAGCGAGAAAGATCGTGATGGACGAATGTGAAAATGCGCAACCCGCGTGCGACACGCGTTCCAACCTCCCGGAGGAGACGGTATTTCACGCCGTATATATACCGCAAGACAACAAGGATTCGGTGAATGTAGAAGGTAAAAACTACTTGAAATAGGTGCACGATGTATAATTTTTTTCCTGTTTTTTGTCTATTTTATTTCTTTATCAAAACAATCGAATCGTGTAACTGACTGTATAAGCTATAAAGCGAGTTTTTTTTTAGATATTGAATAACAGTAACACAGTTTAGCTGCTTTATATTTACAAGAGACGAAACTAATTTATATGTCATGAATTCTCGTAGAGAATGAAACAACACAGGGATAACTCCCTTGTACAACTTGTACAATAATGTTAAAATAAAACTCCTGTGTTGCTTTGTATTTTACAATTTTCATTATTATTATACTATCATTAGCTATATTTCTAAATATTCTTTTTTTTACAGAAAACATTCATATCTATCAAGACATGTCAGATGCCCTAAAAGTCATAAAGAAACACAAAAGAGCTCGTTTGAAAACTTTTAAAAATCATTCCGATGCTGAGGCATATACGAGAACTGGATATACACAATCTTGCAACAATCATCCTACATCAACAACTACTCTAATGCAGGAAACATGTAGTAATTTTAAGGCACCAAAACTACAGGAACTTACAAGTTTTAAAAAGTTAATTGAAAGTGGAAATATAGACAGTGTTAGGAGTATTATATGGACAAATCCACGATATCTAATTAGTAGTGGAGACACACCACAAATTTTACAGGTGAGTATACTTACAATTACATTTCAATCTCTCTTTCAATGACAAACGACATATTGCTATATTGTACATTTATACAAAGAAAATCTGTATTTATTATATTTTAGGTGGGCTCTCGATATAATGCATTGCATATAGCAGTGAATGCTAACAAACCAGATATGTGTGAGCTTATTTTAAAGACCGTTGGAAATCCCACATTTATACAGTTGCATTATGGAGACGATGAATGTAAAAGTTATCTAGATCCTACGCAAATCATGTTGGATTTATACTTGAATACTCCCGACAAAGGACTCAATGAGACACCCTTGCATTTTGCTGTCAAGTATGGTCATAAGGATATTGTCCGGATTTTCGTCTCATACTCTCAATGCATTAAAACTTTGCGGAACAAATATGATCAGCAGCCTATAGATGTAAATTTAGAAACTTACGTAAAGTATATGATTTATAATGACCAAAACAAAAAAGAAATATATGTGTGTACGTTATTGTACTTTAGATAATATGCAGCAGAAAGTGCCAAGAAGATGAAGATTTGAAACGAGAGATACGCTTATTGCTGGAGGATCAGTTCTATGTACCTGTATTAAGAGCAGAAGACAACACGTATCAACCTACTATTGGAGAACCGTTTTCTCCGTCTAGTACATTTATTAATGTACGTTTGCATCGGTAAAATTGAACAAAAAAAATTCGATATGAATTACATCCTTTGACAGTTTGTATTGTTACATTTGATTATTCCCCAATGAAAACTCATATTATTAACGCATGCAAAACGTGTCTTTTTAGATGTAATATATATTATTTTCAGAGTTTGAATAGAGATCCGATTAGTCCACGTCTGGAAGTACGGGCATTTGCTGGTCCAATGACCAAGTCACAGGCGCTGGAATTTCGAAGAAAATGGAAAACTCCACCACGTACTATCTCTACGTCCGCGAAAAAGGGAGAGGGTGACGCGCCGAATATTATGAATAGTCCAGTCGCTACAGTCTCTCTGAGGCTGCAAGACACCGAAAAAGGATTGGAACGTGTCGGAAGGTACGAATATATTAAATTAAGAACGTTAGGTGGTCTTGTTTTTTCTCAAAAAATCTCTTCAAACTAGATTCCTTAAGTAATTTAGAGATAAAAAATCTCCTTATATGGAAATGTCGAGGCTTGAGTAGTTTTCAAATGATGAACGGTCAAAATTTACAAGCTACAACGGCTAAAATTTGCACACGCAATTTAATTTTTCAACGATATTTTAATACTTTTCTATTTGTTTTATTATACCAATAAATGTTTTTCTTAATAATTTTCTTAATTATTTTATTAGATGTCTTGCGGTAGAATATCAAGTGCCTTGGAAGGAATATTGGCCCTTTTTGAAGGATTTCGTCGACTTTCAGAATGATGAGGGATTGACAAAGCTTGAAAAGTATTTAGAACAGAGATTCAAAGATTATAAGGTTCAGTTACTTTACTCAAGAATGGTATGAGATTTTTTATACAACCATTTTTTTATACAACTTGAATTGTTCTTTGTATATTTTATTTTCGTACAATCCTGTTGTAGGTAGATTTGGTTAATAACACAAATGTGTCTACACAAGATTGTCAAGGAGTAACTGAAAAAATAGATGAAAAAATAGAAGGAGTGATAGAAAAAATAGGAGGGACTGAAAAAGTAGATGCGTTGGATGTTAGTGAAATACAAGATTTATGTGAGAAACTACAGTCATGTTCATTAAACAACAAATTTGATGAAGACGACGAAGATACAGGTCTATTTCATCGTTTTCACACACATTTCGTTCCATTATATTATGTAATAATCCATAGTATATCATATTAACATCAACAATTTAATTTCGTAGATGACTTCGAATATATGACACCATCATCCACACCAGAATATGTTCATGATGATTCGGATGACAGTATGCAGAATGCCGAAGAGGAAGGCCCTATGATATTTATCGAAGGGTAATAGAGTTGTTGTTAATTTTATATGAAAATAAGAATTTCACTGGAAAGACACTGACGCGAGACCGTCAATACTATTTCAGATCTTCACCAACGAAATCAGATCACGCTGTTTATAACGCGCTGCCATCCGAGATTAGCTCCAACACGTATCCTTACATTTACCGTTGGCGACATGAAATGCAACTGGCTATAAAACGTGATCCATACAGGTATATCTTTAAACCTCGCTTTGTATTCTTTTGATCTACACATATATTTCGTCCATATAATTTAACGAGAGAATAACTTATTAATGTATTAGCAACAAAAAGCCGCTTCATGAGCTAATCGCGTTAATTTTTGTTTCCTCTTTACAATCTACAGGTTTAATATGAAACTGCTCAGGAGAAAATTGTTCACTAATAATACTTAAATATACAGTAAACGTTAGAAGTATCAAGAAGTGGTATTAATGAGCATTGGGTGTCTTCTGGATTATTCGACCAAATTTGTATAATGGGAAAAAGTATTTCTAGCGAATCCGTTTGTACAGTACTGCGCAAATTGATGTGTAAAATAAAGGCTGTTGCATACACAGTTGTCTCAACTGCAAAAACATGATGTAAGCGCTTTGTCCAATATATATTATGCCAAATAATATGCGATACATCCTGTAATTAACATATGCTAACTTATGTCGAGTAAAGCGACAACTTGTGTAACCTACCTACCTCTGATTCAATCGTGCTCCCGTCTTTACGTCAATTTGTGTATGTACAACTGCCTTTATTTTACGTGCATTAGTTGATTGAATCCAATCGAATTTACTATTAACTGATTCTCAAGTTGGTAACCGATGAACAGTTGATGCAATTGACCCTACGTCGCAAACTGTGTCAGTGTTGTGTATGAATTTTCTAAAGATAGCACGTGCGGTTATTCACTAACAGTGTGAGAAGACATTGAATATAGATTTTAAGTAAGAGACAAAATATATATTTTTTTTGAGACATATTTACAAAAGAAACTAATAACTAGTAGAATTTTCGTGGTAAACCTTTCGAAAACAATTAACGTATACTCCTTTTTATTGTTCACTGTTTAAAGTTACAATAAATATTTTTTATTGAGAAAAAGTATCCTCACCATTCTCCTCTGAGTCTCGTTTTCCATCATATATTACAATTACACGCACAAATATACTTCATGATGCACTGTATAATATATTTGTTAATCAATAACCTTTATTCACAATAATATTACATACTTTATATATATATATATATAACAGAACATTTATGAATTCTTTTCATTAATATCGCCGACGTAGTCGTAACGTTATTAATTGCTTTTTTTGTTCTTTTTCCTCAATTATTTACCATAATTCATATCCTCGATATCTAATTGCGAAGATAGATCTTTCAATTTAATCAAGCGTTAATAGGAGTTGGCGGTGTCTGTTTTAACTGCAAGATAATCGAACGCATCCGGGAGACGTCTTTGGAAGTGCGAGACGACTTGGGATTGAATTCGCATAGCTTGGCGATGCGTTCCCATTCGGTACCTGGTTCGACCTCATCAGCCTCCGCGACAAATTGCTTCTCTGCATTCCTATTCGTAAATAGAGTGCAATTTAAACCAATGCGAAGTCATGTATCGCGTATTAGTAACGTAACATAAAACGAGAGAAACAGAAAGGGGGAGAAAAATTGCACTCATTTATCTCAATTATCTTGAAAGAAGTTACCATTTTCGGTAACAAACGACTTTTTTGTATTGTATTTATATACTGCATACTATTTATATACTGCATAAAAGATGATTCTAGCAATATGAACAAGGAGTGTGATTGACGAATATTACGAGATTGAGTGCGTTATGTGTGATCTAAAAGAAGTGATTGAAAAATTTAGACGAGAATACACAGTGCCCAAGCGCGAAAAACTGCATCTAATCAACATTATCAAATTTACTTCAAAGGTCAATATTTTTTTCGATCTATGTTCGATCTACTGAATATTTTTTGTCAATTTGTCCGAATAATACATACATTTTACTCCCTAAATTCTTTGATCCTTTTCTTAGATCAGCTTGCGTGTATATCAATCCGTATATGCATATTTAAGTGAAGCCAAAAAGAAAGAAAAAAGAAAAAAAACAACGCGAAAGACTTGCTGAATTTAACTTTGTCAAGCAATATTGTTTGATGCAATCTTGTAGCAATTTATTTAAAAGCAATATTGGAATGATCGAGAGAAGAAAAGAAAGATAGAACTGTGCCTTTATGTATCTTTGAATCATTCTGAACATATATAGTCTTTTTCTTTTCTCTTGAAATTCTTAAAGCTGTAAAAGCATGTCGTGTTACATTAGCGATGCGATGCTCTTTTTCTCATGCGGATAAAGATATTTTAACTTACTTGGCCGATTCCCTAAGAAGCAAAACGAAAATAACACAATTATATGTAATAATGTAATCCAGAAGTCTGTAGTATACATAGGCTGCGTTTCGTAATACGCATATGCGCGCATTCATCTGTAGTTCATGTTACATATACTGTAAAAAGTTGCGCACATAAGCGTATTACAGGACACGTAGCCAGCTAGTATATAGCATTGGACTAATTATCGATATCAAATATGCTAACACTTAAAACAGTTGATTATTGATATAGAATTCAGTCCAATGTATATCTCTTATATCATTTTTTATGAATTTTCGCTTGAATGTACTACGTTTTTAATCTTCTTTTTTCCCATCTATTTCAGTATAAATATTGTTAGAATTGTTAAAAGTGTAAGCTTTGTGTTGAATATAGTATAATAGTGGATTATAAGAAATATTGATTCACAGCTGTTGACTTGATGTTTAGTTTCAATTGCCAATTCTGTGCCGAATCAAGATATACAAGGAGAAAGAACAAAAATGTTTAATGAAATTACCTGTTGGTGGTTTTTGTTTTACCAATAGTCTCTGCATGGTGCTTGTACCATTCTTCAAGCTCTTTCTTGGCAGCTTCTCTCCATTCTTCCTTCTTTTTCTCCTCTTCCGCATCTAGAAGATATAAATACTATATTATATGAAAGGTTACATACTATATACAACAATTAAACTGCAGAGATTTTTAATATTTCTTTTAAAGATATAATTAACTATTTTCAATACCTTTCTCTTCAAGACGAGCTTTCTGTTCTTCTCTCCACTTTTTGATCTTTTCAGGCTCTTCTTTGATTGGTGCAATGATGGGTGCTGGCTCTATTAATATTATCCCATGTAAAAATCCAACAATTAAATTTTTCTGAAGATGCAATAGAAAAAGATTTAAAAATATCTTTAAGATACCTGATACTGATGACGCTTGTGACTCTGTAGGTTGCCCGATAGCATCTACAATTTCAAAACTGCCTTCAGCATCACCACCTGGACCAACTTTCAGATTCCCAAATTTTGCAGATGCATCATCTACAAGATATTATTAATATTTACAACATATATGCGATATAAATAAGCATGTATAGTATCTTTCAAATACAGAACAAAACTTTGAGATTTGCACAAACAGATCATTCTATAAACCTGTTCTTTTTCATAAAGCTCTTAAATTAGTGTACACTGGTACAATAAGAGCGAAACAAAAGTATATTTTATTGTAATTTATTACACCAGTTCAGTGTACACTAGTTCAGAAAGTTCTTTAAAAAAGAACAAATTTCATATCTATCAAATGCATGTCAAATCCTGTATGTGTACCATCGGTGCTGCCTGCTGCCGCTGCTGCAGCCAAAGTTACAGCCATCGGCGTTATATCATCCTCTAAGCCAGCAAGCTGATCTTGCTCTCTTGCCAGAAACTCTGCTGCTGGATCTACCTCAGGTTCGTTGTTAACAAAATTGTCGCCAAATGCGTCCATAGTCTGCAAGAGAAGGTTGAATGGATACTTCCTTTTAAAATACGCATGCACACTGTTTGTCAAAATGAAAATGGCTTACTCCTTGGGCAAATATCGTTCGCACAAAATTTGGATACTAATTTCGACGTCACGAAGTAACAAGTGTGAAATTTTAGAGAGAAAGGACAGATGCGTTAAATTGACATTTGAGGTTAAGCAACCGTCTCGCCGAGTAGCTAATCTAACAAAGTCCAATTTCAAGTTTATCCTGTAGAATACAATGAAAATTCGTTTTCTCCTCGCGGCTACTTACTTGTAGGCGCACGATTTTTCTTTCAAGCGGAAACTATGGAATGTATCAACGAAATACGTTCTTGTTATCTGAGGGGACGACACCACCTTCGACGCCTACTTCCACCTGCCGCGTACTTCTCTCTCTCGGAGCTACTGGTAAACGTCAATCGTGGATCGTCTACGTCAATATCGGTATCGATAGGATATCGATGCGCACGATGCACTCTACACGCACACCGTATACAGGCTACTAGGAAGTGTGACTGCGAGTGTGCGCACGGCCAACTTCACGGCAGACTTCTCATTGACGTTGAATTGTCGATTCGAATAAGTTACTGTATACGAATTGTCAAGTAAGGAGAATGTATCATTATGGACTAATTATCGTTTTTTCGTTCTCTCTCTCGCTCTCTCTCTCTCCCTCTCTCTCTCTCTCTCTCTTGTTTCATAAATGCGCACATTTAACAAAACGCCTGTCTTATTGCGAATAGCTTGAATTGGGTCAACTTTCTCGCGATTTTCCGAGGGTAGATTGAATTATAGATTGGGCGCGCAGCTGTTTAATAGCAGGAATAAATAAATTTGAGAAATCTACGAATACAGTTGTCTGAGGGACACTTTTCTTCTGTTCTTTTGTTTTTTGCTTCTTAATTTAAGAATCGCGCAAGATCTAGAATGTCCAGTGACACCGTTATTCGAGATCTCGGATCGTGCTCTATTTTTCAAATTCTACCGTCAGTTTCCGTATCTAGATGTGATGTAGTCAAAGTTTCAAGTCGTCTTACGTACAATGGCGGTTATTTACTCTTATTTGTTTGCATGGACAATCGTATTACCGACTCGATCTTTGATCATGACTCTATTAATTCGCTTATCAAGATGAATTCGTCATTAAGAACATGGCATGTCATGGTCCCTACCAGTCACGCCATTTTCGCCACCTAAATAGTAGTCAAATTGACAAGGCGGCGACGTTGGCACATAGTTGATAATTGTTGATAATGCACAAGTTACGCTGATAAGGCTCTTATTTATAGAATTAGTGGACTCTCTTTCGGAATCGTATTAACTCAAAAGATCATGCAACGACACGATAAAACAATCCTCAAGCAATTCTACAACTGTAAAATTCTACGCGAAGGTAAAATTCAGTTGGAAAATTTGTGGGTGCGCAATGGTAAAATTGTAAATCCGGAAAAAATTTTTTACGATGAGAAAATTATACCCGATGTTAGAATAGATTGCAACGGTGCCCTGATCTCTCCGGGATTCATAGATCTGCAAATCAACGGTATTTATCAAATTTTAGTGTAAAAAAAGAAATAAAACTTTTACATCTTTGCGAATAGACGAAATTAATATTTGCATTTATTTCTCAGGAGGATTTGGCATCGACTTTTCAAACAATATCGATAATGTGGAGAAAGGCGTAGATAAAGTAGCGAAAGGATTACTCAATTATGGAGTAACATCATTCTGTCCTACAATAGTAACTTCTCCTGTTAGGACATATCATAAGATACTGCCAAAAATAACAAAGCGGAATGGAGGTAGTCACGGTGCTGGTATACTAGGTGTTCACATAGAAGGACCATTTATTAGCCCAAGTAAAAAAGGTGCCCATCCAGAAAACTATATCAGGGGATTTGATCAGGTAAGAATTACAACTTAATTAATCTGGAATAAGTTTTGAAATATTATTCAGTTTAGTATACTTTTCAACACTGATACGTTTTGAAATAATGATTGATGTTTTAGGGTTTTAAATCAGTTACTGATATGTATGGAGATCTGAACAATGTGTGTATGGTTACATTAGCACCTGAAATTCCAAATTCCATATCTATTATCGAAGAATTATGCAAAAGAAATATCAAAGTATCTGTTGGTATGTTGAAGTCCTGTAATATCTGAGCTATAATATATTTATCGTATTGCTTTCAGTAAAAGTTGCTTCTCCTTATTTTGCCATATAAAATTTTAATCTCTATAATTTATGAAATAGATTTCTTCTATATAAAACTAAGATATGTAATTGAATATTTTTCAGATCTTTACAAAAATTACTGTTAGCTATTTATTTGATATACATTTGATTGTACATTTTAGGACATTCTGTAGCAAATCTAAGTGAGGGAGAAGGAGCAGTTAAACACGGAGCATCATTTATTACTCATCTCTTTAATGCTATGTTGCCTGTAAGTTGTAAAATATAATACTATGTTGCATCATAATCGACTTGCACCTTTTATAATAAAGGTATATACAATGTTTCTTTAAAATCATAGTTTCATCATAGAGATCCAGGACTAGTCGGTCTCTTGACATCTGACAAAATTCCACCTGGAAGAATCATTCATTTCGGCATAATTGCGGATGGGATTCACACTCACCCAGCTGCTTTGCGAATCGCTCATCGAACGCACCCCGAAGGTAGTTATTTAGATCATATCTGTTTTTGTTAGTGATTTTCAATAGTAGCAAAATTTAAAAAATGAATATTCTCACAAGGTCTCGTTCTTGTAACCGATGCTATATCGGCATTGGGTTTGGAGGAGGGAATTCATCAGTTGGGTCAGTTAGAAACAGAGATACGTAACGGGAGTGCTTATATTGCTGGAACAGATACTTTGTGCGGTAGTATAGCCGAAATGTCTAAATGTGTGCGACATTTCAAAGAAGCTACAGGTAAAAATCACACCATTTTGATTTATTGTTGAAATATTTTACGGTATTATTGTCAAAGAGTTTGTGTTAGGCAATTCGACAATTGCATTGCATCTATCTAGAGTGTACTTCATTGCTTGATGTAGATTGCACAGTGGTTGAGGCTTTAGAAGCAGCTACTTTACATCCCGCAAGAGTCCTCGGCATTGATTCTTACAAAGGCGTTCTCAACTTTGGTGCTGACGCTGATTTTGTATTACTGAATGATAGACTGGAAGTATTGTCGACATGGATTTCGGGAGAATGTGTTCAGCATACTTATAGTAAGTAACACACATAAAAAAGACAAAGGAAGAGATTATTACTTCGTCATATGAACATGAATGTATTTTATCGAACGATGAAAATATGAAACACATCTTTTTACTCCATTTCGAAAAATTGCATGTATATATGTATATATATATATATATATATATATATATATATATATATATATATATATA